TTAGGGCTTATCAAAGACTTTAAGTTTGTACCCTTAATGTTTGTAACCCTAGGTTTTGGGTTCCAAGTGCCCTTATTAAGGGTCATACTCCATGGTTTAGGGGTCCAAACCCAAGGGTCCAAACCCAAAGGGTGCAAAGGAAAACTCCCTGAGTCTAGGGTTCCTTTGCAGAGGTTGATAAGGTGTACTTCACCGCGTTTTCTTATGTTGAGGTTGTGGCTATGTAGGAAGACACTCAAGTCAGAACCCCATCATGGCTAAACGACCGTTCTTCATTTATTTCGAAGGAAGTTTCAGGTGGTAGTTTCCACTGTTTTGTCCTTGTGTCCACATAGAGGCCATATATAAGCCTTATGTAAGGGTACGGACCTGGCAATTACCCATCCGACGATTTCCTTGATTATTGTTGCTGTTATGGTTTTACCTAGCATATCGTAATATCATTACCTGGGTTAGAGTCACCACTTGGGAGTTTCGAATGGTTATGGTCACTACTTGTAGAGAGGTGAAGAGTTGCCTTGCGTTCGCGACATGCTAGCATGCAGCCGTTAGCTGACATTTGCACAAATCATGAAGGCTGTTCCTGTCTTTCCTGGCCGCAATGAATCTTCAGTACTTTCAGGTGTTGACTAGCATGTGGCGAATGCAGCAGGTCCCTAATATCTTTTTGGAAGATATGCCCGCCAGCATATGCTGTTTTGGTACATGCCGTGCCTAAGCCTGAATCTGCGGCCGAACAGCTCCGAGGAGCTTTGAGAAGTCAGCTGGAGTTGCTGAGGTCAGCTGATCTTCAAGACTGGTTACGACGGCGACGTTGGGGTAGCCGGCTCGTACCCTGGCGGATTTAGCGTTTGCAAAGGGTTTGGGCTCAGGGTTTGGGGTGCTGAGGATTGCGTCTTGCTCAACGGCCCTGTCATCCGTAGCTAGGTTGTGTTGGCTAGTTGTTGTACAGTTCCTGCTTGCTGCTAACTATCACAAAGTTTGTTGAACCCTGGGACCTCTATCAAGATGAATTGCCTTTCATAGTAAAGTTTGCTTCCGAATTCTGAGGGCTATCTCCCTAAAACCCGAAACCCTGAAGGCTTGCACAGGAAGACTGAAGAATCCGTGGGAATATCTAACCCTTACTGGAGCATGCTTGGGCTTCGGGGTTTAGGGCTTAGAGCTTAGGGTAATGCAAGAGTATGTGCAACCTGCCAAAGTTTCTTGGGCTCTGGCTTTCTCACTTAGTATGTGGATTGCAGGCTACTTGTTTGAACCTACTTGGAGGGTCAGGGGGTCCTTTAGAAAGTAGGTTAATAGGGGACAGAACTAGGGCTACTCTATGGGTTCAAGAGGTCTTAACCTACTTACCAAGTCCCCCTGGCCCTCCAAGTATTGTCCCACACGTTGCTGCTGGCATGGGAAATCATGAACCTTCCCAGGTCCCAAACCTAATTCTCTGGAGCTACAGTAGTTTAGTTGATGTGCTGCCGTTGCTGCTCCAGTCCTCAACCAACGGTGGGAGTGCACGCAATAGCCTTAACCAAAACTTGGTGTCCGCTTTGCCGTGGAGCGTATCCTATCCCCCTTCAGACTCTCCTAGGAGTTACGGCATGTACCTGGGGTCCTCAAACCCTAAACCCCAAATCCTAAACCCCAAACACTAAACCTTGAACCCTAAACCTTAAACCCTAAACCCTAAACTTAAAACCCTAAACCTTAAACCCTAAAACCTGAACTTTAAATCCTGAACATCAAACCATGAACCACACATTGACCTGGAAGGTGCGGCACTGGTGGTGGAACCGCAGGCCTCAACTTCAGGTTTTCAGTGCCACGCACACACACACACATGTTCATGAGGATATGGGTGGTTGTCAAAATTATGATCCCTTTTCGGGTACCCTAAATATTAGGTGCTGTATTATCATGGTTAATCGAATAAGGGACCATAATTTTGACAACCACCCATATGGGGATCCGTATCCATTCAGATTCTAGCACTTGCCTCATACCTTCAGCCCGGAACCCTAAATCTTTAACACATAGGGGTTTGGGGCCAGGTACCTGATGCAAGAGCTCTACGGCTTACGGGTTGTAGGGTTTAACGATTTCGGGTCCAGGTTATAGGGTTTAGGGTATTCAGGGTCTAGGCCTTAGGGGTTTTGGTGTAGGGTTTAGGGGTTGAGGCTTTGCTCTCCACTCTTGCGTTTTGACGATGCAAGAACACCATCTGGCAGACCTTGGGGTTTCCTAGAACTGGGGTGCCTTTTTGGGGGTCCCCATCATAAGGACTATAACATATTGGGGTCTGTAGTGGGGTCCCCATATTTTGGGAAACTACCATTTAAGTGTACTGTCTAAGGAATCATTGCTTGATGGCTGTAGCTTGCTCGAAGTGTCGGAGCTGGGGCGTTGCCAGCGTTCAGAGGATGTCATTGCGATAGTACGAAGAGCCATGATAGTAGCATGCAGACATTAGTGCAAGATACTGCAAGCAAAGTTTCAGTGTTGTCCCTATGTACTACATAGAGCTCGTGGACATTGGGATCAGGTGGAATCAACAGCCTGAAGCTTTGAGGGCTGACATATGAGCTGTAGTCTAAACTCCTTAAAGGGGGGTTATATAGGGGATTATATAGGGGACTACTATAGGGGTTCTTAAGGGGGATACTAGGAGTTTAGACTATGGCTCGTATAGTGCAGGTGTACCTCGGCATGATATGTTTATCCTAGGTTGGATAGCCAGCCAGCACGCCAAAGGTCCAGAAGGAACAGTTATCTGAATGCCGAAAGTATGTAATCCATTAAAGGTTCCCCCTCCTATGCATGAACTCCGAACCGTATTTAGTAGTAGGGGGGGATATTTATGGTACGACCCGGAAGTAGGGGTAGTATGTAATAGGGTCCTTTCGACATCTAACTCAATCGTCTAAAATTCGAGTAAATTGAATCGAAACCAGTTAACTTGAATCAAAATCGTAATGCAACCAACTACAATCAAAGTAAAGCCCATCGAAATCAAATGAACAGCTAAATAGCACCCAATTAAAGTCAGTTCAAATTCTAAGCGCATGAAAATCCATTTAGAGTCTAATTAAAACCGACTTACCGACTAGAATCAGATGACATGTTCGTAAAACCGGATTAGAAACTAAGTACAATTCATTTAAGATTACAATAAACTCAATTAAAATCGCATTCAGATTCTAAATAGAGTCCTTTACAAAGGCCATTCAACAACCATCGAAGCATAATCCCTAGTGCTAAAGAGTCGTGCTAGGGACCCTAAACCCTAAACCCTGATTCAGAGGATCCGAGCCGCAATTAACTTCAGTCTTGGCCCTTTTAAAAGTAGTCTTCGGGGCGGATTTCAGAATTTGGAATTCTGGGGGCCCGTATTAAAAATTACGGGGCTTGAATATTAGAGGGAAGGGATTACAGCGATGGTTTTCTCTGCTCCTGTTTATCAGATTGGGCAATTGTTTCATTCAATTACTTTTAGGTTCAGGTATGGGGTATGACTTGTTCGCTTCAAGGTCTTGACGCTACTTGGGGGGTCAGGGGGACAAAGTACGTAGGCTTATACGGGGGATAGCTAGGGGATACTAATTGGATTTTAGGAGTTTTTAACCTAGTGATTAAGTCCCGCTGACCCTATACCCTAAACCCAGAACAACAGGGTAGATTCCATTTTCTGTTCCATCATTAACCTAGTTACTAAGTCCGCCTGACCCTCCAAGTAGTTTGGGTTGCCGATCTCCATCGAAGGCCTCGTCCGGGTGTGGAGTCGAGTCTAGTCAGACACCAGTTCATCCTCATTCTCCACTTCCCAGGGGTAGGCTGAAAAATTGTTTTTGCTTGTTGTTACCTTTAATCCCGATATAATCCTTACAAAGCCATAAAGACTTAATCTGTATAGGGCCCCAAAGCTACCCTAGTCCCTGCACAACAGTAAACACGCACAAACCAAACAAAACCTGAAACCCTATGCCTGGCAGAATCTCGCCGGAGAGGGGCACGGTCCAGACACGGCGGATGGGCGGGTTCCATATTTAATTTGGAAGGATGCTACAAGGGCTCCAAATCGCTTGTATAATAGATCTCAAATTGATGTTGGTACCCATTCAGGCTTTGCCATTCCACACTCAAACAATCCCAAAGTACACTCACTCACCTTCCATGTTACTATTCATGTGACAATGTGCTTTTCCGTTGGGTTCTCCATTGCTGCTATGTATTTAGGCTTCTCCGCCTACCTTTCCCTCTAGCCCCTTTAAGCGGATGCATAAACACCAAGCCCCTACAGTAAACGCCCCAGACCCACTAACTGCCATGCACAGGTCCCAATGGTCTCTTCTATGCTGCTCACGGCACACCAAAGGGCGGCGCCTGTCATGCAGACAAAGTTTGGGGTTGAGGATTAAGGGTGTGCCTGTTCAAAATGACCCCTGCGCCCAGCATAAACCGACTCATGCCCAACATGGCTAACTATGCTACATGATCCTGCTACGATGCTTGGTTGGGAACGCCAAAAATTGTGGAGCACAATAGTCACGTTTGCATGAGAGCATGAGAGCATAACAACAGTTCAGGAATGTCCAGGCGAGCTATCATTTGCTGAAGACATTGCGCATGTTGCCTGCCTAAAATGCCTATGATGCAAAACCCAATCCATAGACGCCATGCGTGCATGCCAGCAAGTGTCATCGAGGTTTTGGTGGGCTTTCCCATAACTAGCTTGACGGCAGCGGTTCTTACTTGCTCTCTTAACGCCCCTTGTCTCAGACATGTATTCGCGCTCTTGGGTTTTGACTTTCTCAATCTTGTTAAGTATCACCTATGTCTAATAACTAGAGATTATCATCGCCGAAAAACATTGGATGCAACAAAAATAGTCCTGACACACTGCTATTCAACCCTAAACCCTAAAACGCGTGCCTAAACCGCGTGATTCAGCTCTAGGTCGGTCATAGGGGTGGTGACCATGTGAGCTATAGTCTAAACTCCTTGAAGAGGGTTCTACAAGGGAAAATGTAGGGGACACATGTATGGATATGTGTCTGCCAGACGGTCCAGATAGCGTTGCTGGTAGGATGTCATATGGAATACAGTTGAGACGTGGAAGTTTACGAGCGCAGGGCTTCAAACCATGCTCTCGAGCCCATGTCGGGTTTAAGGTGTATAGTCCCCCTCAAGTAGATAGAATATGCGGTATATGGGGATCTTAATAT